CGACGTAAGTCGAATTTACCTGTCTCCGAATCTACTTATCACTAGGAAAGCATTTTAAATAATATATGGTTAATAAAAATCTATTTTAAGCTTACAAACAAATAAATTTTAGTTTTTAATATAGTACAAAAAAAGTAATCTAAATTTACGAATGCGTGTACTGTAAATACAGTACATACTTGTATATATTTTAATATGATTTTATGTGCTTTAAACGTTTATCTAGTGATATTACGACTTCAATATTTGTGGCGGACAGACGTAAAGTCGAATAAAATGACTTAAACTTGATTTTTATTTTTCCATATACTTTTTTAACAAGCGACATATAATCGGGAACGACGTAACTCGAAACGACGTAAGTCGAGGTATGCCTGTATATATGTCAACATTGGTACGGATTATATTAAGTTTTGTTATATAAATTTCTGTATAAGTAATCGAAAACATTATTTTACAGTATTATTCAGTTTTTAGCAAGATGTCAGCAACCAGATGGTGGATTTGGAGGTAATTTATCATCATTAAATGTTTTTTAGTATAATTTCTTTTATTTTGTAGCTAATATTTTAATAGATTTTATAAATGGATTATTTATATAATAATTTAATTAAATAATTGTAACATAAAACATATTATATTATATGAAATAATTGTTATTTGGCTTTATTGAAAGCTAAGCAAGGGAAAATATATAGAAAAGTGTAAAAAATTTATAAACCACAAAAATTTTAAATATAACTCAACAAACATATCACTAAACTTAATGTACAGGATGTTTTGTAAGGCTGGAACCATAGGATTTATGTAGAACTTTGTTTATTCTTTTTACAGGTAAAGTGTGGTGTTGAGTAAAGAGGAACAATTATGTTTTTAGTGGAGACTTACAATCAGTGTGAAGTTGCCGAAGAGTTTAAAGAGCCGTATACAGACCGCCACACAATTGGCAGGAAATCTGGATGCATCGCATTAAACTCTTTGGTGAGTTCACACCGACTTCAGGTCCCAACCATAAAAATAACTGTCTTTCCTCTCTACTTGGCAGCATGTTTTATCTGTAAAAGAATAAGCAAAGATTGAAATAACTCCCGTGATTCCGTATTTATGCAATATCTTGTGCAAAATATCAGAATTCAATTTTAATTATTTCTTAATAATATTTTGATACATAAATAATAACTTATCAATAGAAGCATTTTTATTCAGTTAATATTTATATGCAATATGGCAAGTGGCATCCATTGTATTTACAATCAGTTTATACAATACTCCATATATTATTTGCATCTAATTTAAATTTGCTAGATCTATTCTATTTTTTCTAATTTTTTAATTTAAATTTAATTATTTTTGGCAGGTGGACCTGGACAGCAGAGTCATCTGGCACCCACATATGCTGCAGTCAATGCTCTTTGTATTCTTGGTACAGAAGAAGCTTATGAAGTAATTGATAGGTTAGTATTCGAAAGAATGAGTTTCTGAAAATACAACAAATTAATTAAAGAATCTAATAGTTTCAGAAATATTATATTAACTAGCTGTTACCTGTGACTTCGCCCATGTGGATTTTGCAAGCAAACCCCATTTATATTCAGTATTTCAACAACCATAGTGATTGTTATATAACACCTACTGCTGAGAATGATGAGAATTGCTGAGAATCAAATGAACTGTTTTCAATTTGATCAATTTTCTGGAATGTTTACAATTGTTCTATAATTGAACCAATATACAATAACAAATTCAAATTTAAAACGGTTCAAACATTTGGTTAAAAAATCAAAATATATATAAAAATATTTATAATAATGTCTGAAATGTTATCAATTTAATACACCTAAGTAATCAATGAAGACTAAACATAGTTGAAAACAAAAAATTGCATCTAAAATAGTACAATAGAAGCCGTTCTTCAAGTTAAGCCTTAATTAATGCTCTCCATCTCCCCCCGCAGGGGAGTTTCCAAAAATCCCTTCTTAGTGTGCATTCTCATTGCGTACCCTAACTGTGTATCAAATTTCACCTCTTTAGGTTCAGCAGTTTGCTCCGGGTGATGATGAATCAATCACTCAGTCAGTCAGGACAAGTAATTTTATATATTTAAATAACGGAAATATTTGTTAAAAATTGAAAATTGTTCAGTGACTGAATTTATTAATTCTGAAAATTAAATTTTTCTCCTCAAAAATAGGGAGAAACTCCAACAGTTTCTATATCAAATGAAAAATCCAGATGGATCATTTTCTCTTCACAAAGACAGTGAAATTGATGTCAGGTACTCATGAATTGTAGATTCGATTGCAAATACTGTACAAGTTATTAATGAGAAAATTTTATTTTAAAGGGGAGCTTACTGTGCTCTGGCCGTGGCGAGACTGACAAATATTTATACTCCAGAATTATTTGAAGGAACAGCTGACTGGGTCAGTCGGTAAGTAATTTTTCCATCCTTAATTGTCGAAAATAAACAAAATTCTAGATATTTTAGTGTTTGGTTAATTAGAGCTAATTGTGTGTCTGGCACATTATACCCCGTTCGCACCGAGCATTTCGATCTAGATTGTGACTAAGGTCGGAGTGTTCCGTGGCGCAAACATTTCAATCTCAACTGAAACAAGGTTCAATCGCGATTGACTGGAGAGAATTCTCGAAACTAGATCCACTCATAAGAGAGATCCCACAATCCCATGCGCGTGAGAAAATACAAGATGGCTGCGGAACACGTGTCGGGCTATCAACAGAGAAATAAAAAAGACAGCTAGAGAGACGACGACATCTGTCTATTATTAGATGTACAGCAAGAAAAAGTATTTATTTCTAACCAAAACTTCCATTTTGTTTGTTGGTGTTTGTGACTTACCGCGTAGTTACGTCAGTTTTATGATCGCGTGTAATAGCCAGGTTCTTCTCGAGCGGACTGCCTGTGTCAACAGCACGACGTTTGACTAGCGACAGTCACAATCCAGATTGTAGGTAAATCGAGATCGAAGTGAGTCGTGGATTGTGTGCGAACTTAGTATTAGGCAGCAAGAGCTCTCCCGCCATTTTTTTCTGGCAGAATTTACATTTTTCAGCTTAGTATTAATATTCTCATATCATAAGCATTTAGAGCAAATAAGCAATCAAATAGTCCAATTTAATGATATTAAACTATTAGATTTAACAACAACATTCTGACTTTTTATAAAGGAACAGATTTGTTACTATCGGAGACGAAATATATTTTACCGTTAGCATTCTGACAAATGCATAATAAAAGAACTATGATTTACATTTGGAATATTAGTTTTCTAATATTAAAGTGTGAATTATAGTCGATCCCTGTATAACACTGTTGATAATTC